CCCCGCTCTGACGGCAGAATTTTGGGAGAAAATAGTAGTAGGGCAAGTTTTGAAAGGGGAGGTATTGAAGCCGGAAATTTGGGAGGAGGCGTCGTACTTGACAAAAATTGTACACGATAATGTACCACGAGGGTTAGGCCCATGTTCGAGTCTCTTGATTGAGGTCATGCCTTTGTCTTTGACTTAGCTCTCTTGTGAGACCTTCGCATTGCGTACTGCAATGAAAAACAGTTACCTCAAGAAAAATCTATAACTTTGAAGTCCTGAAGAATAGTTTGCGGTTCCCAACCTCAGAATTGCATATCCCGGCTTAAGGACGAACTGTACACGCATCTCAGAGGACAGCAGGCCATGTATGAGGTCAATGGGTCCGCAGCTGCAGTAATGTGCTATCTACGTCGCTCAAAATCACGGGAACGAGTTTTGCAAACGTGAAACAAGTTTGGTTACTTCGCTCGCGCAGAGACTAGTAGATCTAGAGGCGATGAAATCGGAGATTGCCCCCCCCCTCCCAGCATTATGTTGGCTTCTGAGCATTTCTGGAGGGAAATTATTGAGATGTTGGCACCATTTGCCCTTTACTGCCCCAATCATCCAATATCAGGCCAGCTTTTGACCGACTTTTTTCTCCGGTGCAGAATTGGCTCAAAATTTCTCGTCTGGGTAGTTTGACCTCCTGAATATAAATATCTCATCCGCTAGGCCCGAAACCTCCTAGCGCCCGCGACAGGCGCCGGCGCCAAAATACCCTAGATCACAAACGCTGAATTTCTCTGAAATGCCTCCTGCGGTTCTAAGCGCTCAAACCAGATTTGGATTGATCAGTTGGATGCTTTGATAGGATAAATTGACAAAATCTCGCATTCTTTAGTTACTGCGCTTATGATTTGAGGCCGGGTGAATTTTGAAGGCACAAGGCACGGTAATTTGGTACTCGGCAGAGAAGGCATATAGTGGCGCCAATTTCTGTCCTGCTAGTTGTGTTTATCCTACACCTCTTGGGGATTTATCGTGCCACTTGCCTTCAAAGTTAGTGTTCCCACCTGATCACATCGCTCCATTATTCTTAATCAGTATACAATTTAATGAGTTCCTTTGATGCCATGCCCATCATTCCAGATTCACCCAAAGATTCGGACACTTCTTCACGGACGTATCTCTCGGCTCAGTCTTCCTCAGGTAGGGCTAGTGATGACCACAAATCATATGGAACACTGATACACTAGGCATTCTTCTGTATGCATTTTAGATTCCATTACGCCTACGACTGCCGTTCATAAAGAGCCTCTCGTCACTGGCCAACAATCTACGTCTACGAGCTCACCAGGTATGAAGAGTTGAATAACTAGATTGCTCCATCTCGGTAGCATCATGTGATTCCTTTTTGAAGCCAATGTACCGCAACATGAAGAGCCACCATCTGATGTGGTAGAAGGTCTCAGAGCCGTAGCACTGTGGGATTATCAAGCTGGTTAGTTAGTTGATAGTGCAATAATTCTCATAATTACCTATCACTGATAATAATTAATTCTAGCGGATGGTACGGAAATTTCCTTCGACCCCGATGACATCATTACGGAAATTGATCAGGTGAGTATTCCGCTATAAGAGAGACATTAAAAAATCCGTAAAGAAGCCAAAGTGGTCAAGCTGACCTGGAATCGTGAGGAAAGACCTGCTTAAATGAGTTCCGGTGACTGTCAATAGTCACAAAGAGAATCAGCGCTAAGGGTGGAAAAGTGGACGAAAATGGTTCTGGGATGACCGCGACTACGCGACTGTACCACGTCATGATTTCTCTCTTTTTTCCTGTGACTTCTTGACAAAGCCTCAGTCATTCGGTGAGGGGACGCAGACAAGCAGACATGGCGTGTGGCATATTCGTGCATCACCACCATCTTTGATGCCGCAGATTTGGACGGGAAGGTTGTGTAGTTGGGGGAAGAGTAATTAGGATCTATCCGTTACCTTGTCAGCCAGTTCAGCCGGAGGTGGGGCTAGAACTGCCCAATGCCCAGTACAGTCCTCATCATTGCGGACCGGTGGGGCGTCAGCCAGTATGAGTGTGCACACTGTTGAAGCCGTTCTCAGCCTTTTTTGTTGAAGCGCGTATGCGACAAAAAAAGTGGTAAGAAAACTAGTTAATACGGAAGAAAATAATCAGTAATGTCACTTGCCACGCTCAACAACTGAGTCAAAAGAATCGACTTTGGCAACCGGGGCGCCAAACGCAGGCGCAACTGACCGAAACGAACGGGACCACGAGTGAGAGGACTATATTCTTGGAGCTTGAGGTTCTGTGTTTCCGGCATTGAGGTGTCATTCTTGCCGCTATTAACCGTCGGCTATTGTACGGTATTTGGTTCTTTGGAGTGGGGGGGGACAGGTAACCAAGAGGAGCATATCCCATTCTGCATAGTATCGCTTTTGCTGAACCCTGACATATCTGGGGGGAAGGGGTTGAGTGTTAGCCCAGTCGTGGCGAAATGGGCGTTGCAACCTGTGTACGTGCGCAGCATCCGCACCACGACTCAATCCACTCAACATGAAAGCGGCCAAGGCAACTGGTGCCGCGATCCCGCCACTGGGAAACAACGCTCCATACCGCATATCTTCAGAATTGGTCAATATTTTAATGAGTCCAGTAACAAACGGTCGCCTAGGATCTTAGGATAGGAATTGTAATCAAATTTTTTTTCTACTTACTTTATCGCATATAATGTCTTTGCAATAGTTTTTCTCTCATGATGTTTTTCTTTAGTAGCCGATAATAAATGTTAGATGTTAGGATCTAAACATTTGTTCATTCCTGAAAAAGATCGCTTTGTCGTGTTGGTGAGACCCAAGAATCCCCATAAGAGCCTGAAGACCGTTTCCGCGATCAAGGGTTACGGGTAGTAGTTGTTCAATCATGAACAAGTAGCTGATAAGTAACTCCCCACTAGAGGAAGAAGCGAAAAAAAAAACTTTGGAACACTCTGATCAGAGAGCTCCTTATCAGTGGGGCCGGCGCCTTGGATGAGTTTGACGGGCGTCGGCAAGCCCAACCAGCAGGATTCGACGTGCAACCAATACCCGGCAAGCACAGAAAATCACCCTACGACCTTCCAGGCAACGCTATGTATACACGCTTATAAGCCGTTGTCTTGCAGCGTGAACGTAATGTAGTTGTAATGGTTGCAAAAATCACGCGTCTCTAGCTTCTTTATCTCGCTGGCGAAAGTGGTATATTCTCCGCGAATGC